TACTTTGGAAGTCAAAGAGAGAGGTTCGTTTGAGCTCAGGAGTTCAAGATCAACCTGAGTAACATAAGGAGACCTCATCTCTACAGAAAAACCTGAAAATTGACTTGGCGTGGTGGCACATGCCTGTAGTCCTAGCTTATGGTTGGAAGACTGAGGCAGAAGGCTCACCAGAACCCAGGAGGTCAAGGCTGCAGTTAGCCATGATTGTGCCACTGCACTACAGCCTGGATGACAGGGTGAAACCTTGTCTCAAATAAAGTCTCCATTTATTACTATCTTTTTCATTTAAAAAAATTTTTATAAAATGATTCGAGTTAAAAATAGAGAAGGTGGCTCAGCCTGTAATCCCAGCGCTTTGGGAGGCCGAGGTGAATGGATTGCCTGAGCCCACGGGTTTGACACCCACCCGGGCAACTTGGCGAGACCTCATCTCTACATTAAATCAAAAATTAGCCGGGTGTGGTAGCACGTGCCTATAGTTCCAGCTACTTGGAAGGCAGAGGTGGAAGGATTGCTGGAGCCCAGCGGGTTGAGACTGCAGGGACCAAAAGCATGCCACTGCCCTCTAGTCTGGGCCACTGCCCTCCAGTCTGGGTGACGGAGTGGGACTCCGACTCAAAAAAAAAAGAGAAAGTAGATGTATTAGTCTGAGCTCAAGAAGACAGCTATTCTAATATCAGACAAAGGGGTTTGGTATAGCAATTAAATGTGCAAAGAACTGAGTAAGAGAGGTATTCTGAAGATCAAGGGAACAATTATTTATTGACTACAGCCTTGAAACTTATGGTTTTCAAGAATTTGCCAGTAGATTGCCCTAGCTCTTTAGTCTCTGGGAAAGATCCCTTCATGTCAGTCTATAGTGGTAAGTGGGATCTTTCCACTTAAAGAAGGGTGGTATCTGGTTATCATGATTGCTTAGGAGTAATGGCTTCTCTCTAAATCTGAAGCTCCTTTCATTGGAAAAAAATAATAAACTCTCTGCTATGCAGATGAGACCTTAGAGATGGATGGTAATGGTAATACAGATAATGTTAAGAATTAATGATCCAGCACAGTGAATACTGTGAATACTGTTTTGGGATATTATTATGCTACTTTAAAAGCTTTCTCTGTGCTATGAGAGCAACATTCAAGCAAACTACCAAAGTTTTAAGTTAACTTTTAAAATATTTTTTACTTAAATGAAAATAGAATGGTTTTATTATAGTTGCACTAAAAATCTCTGAAATCGGACTTGTGGTAATTCTAAAATTATCTGCCAGAATCATCGACTTAAAACTTCTTTTTTTTTTGAGTTGGAGTCTCACTTTGTCTCCCAGACTGGAGTGCAGTGGCTGCTCCC